GTAGACATGTTTTACAAACTAAGGGGTTTTCATTAGAACGAAGTCAGCATTTGATCGGGTCAACTGATAAGTATCAACTTTCAAACGTACAAAATGCATAGAATATAAGATATATATTTTATTTTTTGATGTAAATCAATAAAAAAATTATTAACACTTATTAGAGCAGATGATATACATAAACAGACATGGTTAATTTGGTCTTTTATAAAAACTGAGATGATAATAATTGCCTAAACGTAAGAGAGAAAGATATTTCATTGGGGAGTAAGTATATTGTATTGAAAAGGAGTTTAAATATTAACAGTAGAAAATTATTTAATAATAAGCTTCTAAATTATAAAAGAATTAGAAATTCATTGTTCTAATAAAAATACAATGCTAGGCATACAAGTACATGTACTATTTCAAGTTTAGTTAGAATGAAATTAAATATAGCTTAAATATTTTATAGATATGGAGTTCTAACAGTTGGAAACGTTGTGTCCACATTTTTCAAAAGATGGGGATTGTGGGTAAAAAAGATAAATTAGTGAGAGAGAAAGAGAGGGAGTATAGGAATGATTAAAATATGAATAAATGGAGAAAGAAAACCCATAAGAGTAAAAAAACGTAAAAAAGATAAATTATATGTGAGAGTGGGAGGATAAAGGAAAAAAAGAAGTAAAGAAAGAGAGATATTTACGTAGATAGACAGCTATAGATACTGACAGAGAAGGAGAGAGAGGGAAAAGAGAGGAAGGGAGAGAGAGTGAAAGTGAGACAGAGGGTGAGAGAGAGAGGAGAGAGAATAGGGAGGTACAGTTAAAACGCTATGGAATGGGAGAGAGTGAATGAGGGTGTTGATAGATAGAAAGATAGATAAGGATATAGCATCTCTCTCTCTCTCTCTCTCTCTCTCTCTCTCTCTCTCTCTCTCGCTCTCTTTCTCTCTCTCTCAATGTAATAAAATCATGTAAATCTAAATATATTAATGAGAAATATCTAAAAGTTTTTCTCTTATTAGATTATGTTCATTTATAATCTGTACAACATCAATAATGTTTAAAAATGTATGTAAACTGTCTCCTCTCTCTCTCTCTCTCTCTCTCTCTCTCTCTCTCTCTCTCTCTCTCTCATTAATTTCATCAACTCTATTCACTATTTCCTAAATCTATAAACCTTTGCAATAATTTACCTAATGTAATAAAATCATGTAAATCTAAACATATTTATAAGACATATCGAAAAGCTTTTCTCTCATTAGATTATGCTCAATCATACTCTGTACAACATGAATATTATTTAAATAGTTACCACTGAACAATATATTTGTATATATTTGTACTATACGTGTTTTGCATTTTGAGTTAAACTTGATTTGTATGTACGAACAGACATTATTAGAAATAAGGACTGATTATATGATCCCGGAAACAAGCTTCACAACTTTCTATAAAGTCTCAACGGACTATAAAGGAGAGGAAGAACACAGGAGAGGTATACAGATGGTTTCAAAACAAACGAAGGAACCGGATCAGGCGTTTATGTAAAAGCCCAAAACATGAGCAATCAAACTCATTAGGGATGTAACTTCGGTCTTTCAAGCAGAAATACACGCCATACACGCCCTGGAAAATCTTAAAAGAGGTTACACTGACAAAAAAATCCTCATAAGATCAAATAGCCAAGCAGCCATTAAAGCATTAGCATGTAAAAGAATCACATCAAAATTAGTCAGTGAATGCATCCAAAATCTCCAAAACCTGGGGAAACACAACAATGATATCTTGGGTGCAGGGCACAGGGGAATTTTGGGTAACGAGAAAACAGACAGACTGGCCAGAAGATCTGCAAGAACATACATAGGCCCCGAACCTATACTTGGTATAACAAAAACAAATATAGAATCCTCCATCGCAGAATGGATCCAAACAAAACAAAAGGAGAAGTGGATAAACTCTAGCGGTGCTAGACATAGTAAACTTATGATGAAACAACCCTCACTGAGACTGGTAAAATCATTGCTGCAAGTGGACATGGCCAAACTCAGAGGAGTGGTAGGACTACTATCCGGTCACTGGCATCTGCGAAAACATTTACACAACATGCTTATATACAACGATGATCCCAGTTGCAGATTATGTAATGAGGATGAGGAAACAGCCACTCATATCATCTTCTAATGCGAAGCAACAGCTCAGTGGAGATTTAGCCTAACGTACGGAAAAAACTTAGGGAATCAAACTGTAGCAGCGACAGTCAATGACCTGATACTTCTAAGAAGAAGGATTGAGTCTATTGCACTGAACTAAGGAACTAGGAAGTACATAAGCCAGAAGGCTGCAGTACCTCGGGAGTGCAAACCCCGCTTCCTAGTATCCTTTTTCACCATACCATACCATGTATGTACGAATGCTCGTTAAATGTAAGAAAGGTTCATGAAACCTCATTTTGCCTTTTGTAAATAAAATGTTTAATTTTCTCTCTCTCTATCTATCTCTCCCACCCTCTTCACACTCCATCTCCATCTTTTTGCACTTATTCAATCACCCTATTTCTTTCTCTTTTCTACACTTTTTTCATCTCATCTTTCTCATCACTCTATCATACCTTCTCATGTAGTGCATACTCACTAGCATCTCAATCAGTCATTCTCATACAGTATCTCTTATGGGTTTTCTTTCTCCATTTATACATATTTTAATCAATCCTATACTCCCTCTCTTTCTCTCTCACACCATTTCAATACTGCTGAGTAGAACAAAATTAAAAAAATATCACGTGGTGCTACCAGAAATATTAATCATTAACCGAAACATAAAGATAAAAAAAATAAATTTCCCAATAATAAGTGTGAATGTAAAAATGTTTTCCAACCAAAGTGTTGATTCATTTACAGATCTTGCTGATCACAACGGGGCCACTAGTGATTATACTAATTTATAATATTATTATAAAATCAACGCGGTAATTTAATTAGCTTAGATTTTGTACTTAATTTAGAAGGTAAATTGAAGTTCAACTAAGTTACAAGCAAAGAATGATTATTCAATTTTCCTTTGGATAATACGGTCGTACAAAGTTCATTTGGAGTAAGCCAAAACAGGGAAAACAAGAATCGACTATTAAATTAGAAACGAGAGTCTCAAATCAGCATGGTTGTATTCATCTCATCTCATTATTTGTCATCTTGTGTTCATTTCCCCTTATCTTTTGTAAACAGTGTGACGCCTTAGATTCGCCCTCGGGTCTTCGAACTCGGGAATAAAACATAAGCAATATGTATCGTCGAGGAGGAAAAAATGAAATTGATATGCAATAACTTTTAATTGAATGGATGATTTCTGAAATTTCTTTACTTTAACGAACCCATAACAAATTCTAATATCCAGGTAACAGTATTTTTCTTCGATCTATCCTACTATGTCAAAGGTGGAACTTTAGTTTCAAAGAGATAGACGTATAATATAACCATAACCTTCATGGTTATATTATACGTAGATGTAGATGATGATATACCGTAGGTTGTATATTTTGCTTTAGGTGAACAGCACGAAAAGCAGCAAGCATACTGCACCCTTTAAGAGCTATTGTATCCTCGTTCTGAACTTACAGCACACCGGTGAGTCCTAGTTCATCAATTAATTTTATTACAAGGCAAGGTTTCAATGGTTGAATTTCTTCTATCGTTATGTTGTACATGTGTAGTGTTATACCATATTTTTCAGATGATTTATTCTGCCTCTGCTAAAAATCCTGTTAGGATTCGAGGTTTTTCCTGCCTCCTTTGATGTGTTGTTGTGTCTTATCTTCAAAAATTTGCTAGAAGGTTCTTGGATTTTTTATATCCAAGGAGTGAATTCTAGTATTTCTTCATTTTCATTTTGCCCTTTTTTTCTAAGGTACCCACTGATGATGTGAGTCCCTATGCCACAGAAGGGCTCAGGACCTGTCAGCAGTATGGCCTACATGTCCTGGGACCCGGCAGAGTATAACTTTATTGTGGCATGCTAATCTATTTAGTTTAGTTTTACGATTCAGCACTATCTTTAAGCGAATGATGTTTAAACTGAGTATTTTCATTGCTGCTTGGCTTTATTATAGTTACAAAGAGGAAGAAATTCCCACAAACAAAAAATTAATTACTGTCTTGTCAGGAAACAACATTGAAAAAAATACAAAATAATGAAAATGCGGATATCCTAAGTAAACCTAGGAATGAAATAAATAATAAAATCAATTTTAATGAACACATAAAAGTAGTCAATTTTGATATTTCGTCAATCATCTGAACTTTCAGCAACAATCGGAAATAGATAAATTAATATACAAATATAAATCACTTTTTGCTAAGGTTAAATATGATATAGTCATAGTGAAGGGTTATGAAACACATATTGATCTATTGATAGACAAATATTATAGTAAAAGAACATACAGGTGTACTACTGAAGATAAAAAGAAATAGAACAACAGGTATCAATTTTTTTTAAATTCTTATTTTTGTAACATTTGGTCAATTTGAACTAAGTATATTTCTCAATTCCATGGATTGCAACATGGTGTCTTTTCCGATGGGTTCTGAATATTTGGTTCCAAGATGGATACTCGTGCCCACGTATCTTCCTGACTTCTACATCCGACAGGGTACCAGCAGATGTTGCCGCTTTCAAGGGTTTTTCCCTCTTTCTCGTTATTTTTTGGTACTTAAATTCGTTTGGAAATTTTGCTTGAACTCCAAAATCCTGTTCGTGTCTCGGGGCCATGAATTTGTCCCTTCGTTGGGCTGTTACTACCTTTCCGTTTTAGTTTAAGCCCTGTTGGAGGTGTCAGTATGAACCTTCACGTTAGACAGCCACTATTTAATTTGGTTGAATGCTTTCATAAAAACTTGACAAGTACTAACATTTTGACAATAGGCAAAGAAGAGGGACGTTTAACTTTCAAAAGACAACGCCCAGCTGTTCGTTTACTTATCCTTAACCATTTTTGTTTCCAAATATAAAAACTATTCTTACCTGCACGGAATATCTGTCCGCATCCGTCGCACCTCGAAGCGAATTGGGCGTCGTAACAGTTGCCGCAGTAGATTTTGTCCGCTTTGCTACCGAACTGCTTGTCGACAAGTGATACGCGACACTTGTTGCAGAAGAAGCACGCCTCGTGCCAGTGCTTGTCTTTGTAGGACAAATCCTAAGGAGAAAATAAGATAGAAGTTAATTATAGTTAACAAAATTATATATAAAGATTATTAAAAAACTATCAATCACAAAAAAAGCATCGATGTTGTCATGAAAAATAGCTTTAAAGAGAGTATATTTAATATAAAATTCAAAAGATAAAAATAGAAGAAAAGAAAAATATATATGTGAAAAGGCACCTAATTCAATACTGCACTAAAAGATTACTGTGAGATTGCCTATAAACATTATTGATTTTAGTACTTTTTCACATTTATCTTCAAACTTTATTTCATTATAATATAAGCCAAGTTTTAAATATAATTAATTTAATATTAAAAATAATGTTGTTGCTGTTATCAAAAATCTAGGGTGGCATTCATCGGTTGATATATGCATATTATGTGTAAATATTTTTTTAAAATTTTTTTGTTACATTTGTAGTTACCATTTAAGTCACAATACTGCCCAATCCTTACTTCCTAGTCTCATCTTATCCTTTCCTATCATAATGGAGACAACAGAGTCTAAATTTCCATGTGGCCTGCATGAAGGGAAAGGTTATTCGATTTTTCCCACATAATTGAAGCGACTCTTGGCTCCTTATAAGGAGCGTTTAGGAATGTCACCCGATATGAGAAAGAGAAAGCAAGGCGGCCCTTATTCCGATTTTTGGAGGAAACAGGGTTGTTTTATAGTACAAAGTATTTTAGAGATATCTCATCTTTTCTTTTTTTAGTGTATTGAGAGTTAATGTATTTATTAGCGTGATTGTGTAGTGTAATAAAACCGATATCGGAATATTGAGTACCCCACAGACCTTAAATTAGATTAGTGTATAATATGGGTGATGGAGGAATATCGAGTACTCACCACCATGATTCAGTGGCATGACAAAATTATATATTTAAGAGTGTGTACGTGGATTTGGATCTGGAGACGAGCGTTGGGGCTATAATGACTTGGCAGTTGATAGCCCATGCAGCCCAACATCGAAGGCTGGACGGGCAGAGGTCTGATCCGGGACTGTCAATCCGGGGTTGGTTGTCGAAGTATGGTAATTTACTATAAATTAGAAAAGAATTGCCGGACTGCGAGAAGTGTTAGGCTCAACTCTGTACGAGTGAATGTATGTATATGCATGTGAAGATTTGAGCTTATATAAATCATCACTGATCTGTGACTCAATTTATTGTTAATAAAATTAGCTCCAATTAAAAATTAGAAGAACAAGGCTATTGTTTATCTAGTTTTGTTAAACTGGTCGACACTGTTATATTATATTATTACTGGGGTATATTGCAATAGTGAAAAAAAATTTCAGTGAAGAACTTCGTGAACAAGTCAGATCAACCTCGCGCTTTTTATTCTATAAGGAACTTTACCAAGATATTTTATTGCAAAATGCACTATCCTATCGGAGATTCGGCTTCTGCATCTAAATTTTTCTAAATTGAATGTGACACAGGTTATTGACTTACTGCTTAATGATTACAAAAATTTAATCAAATATGCGCGCCACGCCTGGCACTATCGCCAAGAGTTAATATTAGAATTTAATTTTCGAATATTTTAAAGCCTTGTCATTCTAAATCGCTGGCCCAAATAATTTATACATCTATATTATTGTAAATTAAACGAAGAACAAAAATTATTGTTTATAATGTATGCTAGTAATTAATATAATTATTAAAAATTAAATTATCAATTGTAATATTTATTTATGGATCAATTTTTTTTTAAATTTTTTCTTTTGTACATTTTTCTCTGTGTCGACCAAAAATTTAAGTCAAATGAAAATCGACCTCCGGCAGACGGACCCTCCATGCCGTAATTTTACTTGAAATTATATACTATGTAATGTTTATAACTTTTCTTTTTTGCAATAAAGTATTATTATTATTTATTATATTATTGTAATAGTTATGTCCAAATAAAATCGCGTTTAAAAGTTGCCAAAATCGAATGGCGGGTTAAATTTCCTCGTTGTGTTTTTATGCTTTTATTCTCTCGGCATTAGAATATATATTTTAAGTTGTTTACTTATTTTTTTCCATGAACTTAAGTTGATTTTCACAATTGGTGACAACCCAATTTTCACTTGAACTGCAGAATTTGATAAATTTCCATTTAAATATGTATTTGTTAACGGCTATTTTATTAACTGTTTTCAATGTAATGTTTTGTGTACTTAGATCTGTCTATATACTTAGAAAATTGAATTTTTTGGCAGTTGGTTTCAATTTTATTATATTTGCATTTAATTGTTATTTCTATTATCCTTTATTTTATCAAGATAATTGTTTTGTTTCTTGTTGTAAGACAACCCCTCAGACGGTCTCAATGTCTGTAAGTATGTGTAGTGTATGTAATGAAGAAAAAAATGTATTTTTTTTAAGAGGCTTTGCAACAGCCCAGGTTATATCAACCCTCGGGGGTGCCGATGTTTTTGAAAAAAAAAAGTCTATTTGTAAGTCGCTGGATTCGAACCCAGGACCTTTACCTTACGGTGATGAGCGCCGTGTCAACGCCTTAACTGTTGCGGTCACCGACGCCCCCAAATGTATAAGATTGTATATGTAATTGTTAATAAATAGTTTTATTATTAATATTAATAAATTTAGATTTTCAAAAGAAAATAAAAAAAACTATTTACTAATTGTTTAGGCAGTGAACTAGCATTATTTGATAATAATTTAGTAGTTATTTCTGTTTTTACAAATTGGTTTTGTACTTCTGTGGTTTCCCATCATCCTGGTCTATCTAGTTTCGCTGGTTTGGCCTAAATGTATTTTGAACTTTTGATGAACTGTTTAGTTTTTGCCAGCTTAGCTGTTTTGTGAAAATCTAGTGAATTACATTTTTCATTTTTTATTTTTATCAAAAATATCGAAAAGTGTCTGACAAACCAAACCAGTGAGACAGCGGACATCCTTGTAAAATTTCACCTTTTTTTAATACAATTTCCCTTATTTTAAAATATAGTTTCAACTCACTTTCGAATCGATACCAATGGTCTTGTTGCATTCGTCGCAGGAGTTAGCAAAGACGGACTCGTAGCATTTGATGCAGTAAGGATGATCGTCCCTGAGTACGTAACGTTGTCCTGTCAGCGATTCGTCACACTGCCAGCAACAAAAGTGGCCAGAATGCCAGTCCTTCGACATCGCCTTTGTGTATTCTCCGCTAAAAATCAACTGTAAAAAAAATTAACCGTCAGAAAACAATCGATAATAATTCAATGATCAATACAATTTCATGTGGAGGAAAAAAGGTTTTCATCTTCTCTCAGTTTCATCTTGTGGAAAAATGAGATTACGCTTGCCCTACTTGGATAATAATGAAGAGATAAGATAGAAAACAATGAAGGACGAGGCTTTATTTTCATTTATTTAAATTACCAGCCAACTACAGGTTTTGTACTAGTACTAGAGACTCGAAATATCTGTCAAACATACCCAAAATACATTTCAACTGAGTCAATAGTTTGAATTATAATGATGATGTTGAGCGGATATCAATAGAATTTACACGATTAATAAGATAATTTAGTTACAAAAATTGTCTTTTGCGTTCAGACTGTCTACTTACCGATGTGAGAAGGACAATTTTGTTTTTACATAGGCATATTCAAGTGGAAGAGATCGTTGAATCGGCCATGGCCATTGCTTCCATATAAGGATAGAATCGGAATCGGCTAGGAATCGCCTTGAATGGAGCAAATGCTAATGTCGCACTTTCACCCGTTCGGGAGTTTCTTACTTGAACGAGTTATAATTGATAATGGCCGTATCGTGTCGTAATATTTCTCTTCTGGGCTGGACCTTGCAAAATATTAATAAACAAGACGGCCTTTGTATGAATTTTTCCCGAGGAATTCCGCATATTCTGTGGGCACAAAATTTTGGATAGTTCGCAAGGCTGGTGCTTGAGGATCGTCAAGAAAATCAGGTCATTAATTATAAATCACGATAAATAGTAAATACTGAGAACAAATTCACTAATTTCGTGGTCCGCTTGACCAATTAATACATTACAATTAATTAAGGTTTTTAGTTGAGATGAAAAAAAGTTAATGGCACGAGCGGGATTCGAACCCACGAATTGAAAAATGGCAAAAAGGAGAGGAAACTCATAAGGTGGGGTTGAGATAGGAAGTTGATGTCCGAGTGGATCGAGGTCATGATAGCTCAAGTGGTAGAGCAGCGGCGTATCTAGCCGAAGATCGTGGGTTCGAATCCCGCTCGTGCCATTAATGTTTTTCATCTCAACTAAAAACCTTAATTAATACTAAGAACAAAGTAAAAAAGGACCTATTCAGAAATTTTTATCAACCTTAGAGAGCTGTCCAAATCCACGTTAATATTTCGCAACAATTTTTTATTTGGGCGTCGGAAATTGATAACCGCGTGAAAACGAAATTTCTCAAGAGTGCGTTCGACTGTTTTGAAAGCGGTGTGAAAAAAAAACAGAGCCAGAATATCCGTGAACTATCGACGGAACGAGGTCTGAACTAATCAACTGTGAACCGCCGCTCGACTGCGGTGTTGGTAAAGAGCGAGACGGGACGGAACGCAGACCGACGGTTCTGAATCGATACAGCCAATCGACGCCAAACTTCAAACATATATTATTCCCTTCCTGTTGGACATTTTTAATTCATTGGTAAAATACAAGATGTATAGAAATTGGGATAGAAACGTTAAAATTTTTATGACCTATGATAAAGTAAAACCTCCGATAAGGGACACATACCTTTACAGGACAGTTATATTATAGAAAGTTATAGAAGCACCGGGATGAAACATTAATTTTCTATATATTTACCATCTCTACTTAGGTGAGACTCTAAAGAATGAACAGGACATTCTGCATTCCATAACATTACAAAAACCCTCTGAATAGGAAACCCGCCTAGATTAGTTTTCCGTTTTTCTTAGGACATATAAACAATTTTTGAGTGTTAAAACGATTACTAATTATTGATTCATTGATTGTTCCGTTAAGAAGATTTTATGAATTTAGTAACTTGTCTTCCCTCCCAAACCATCTTACTTTCTTTGCGATACTGTTTTCGTTTCATGATTTCCGTATAAGTTCAAATTTGTTAATATTAACATGGCGCGAGCCGCTAACTATTGACTTTAAAAGAAAGAAAATGTATGCTTTATTCTTACGATAAGTTTCCGAGACTTGAGCAAGAATGTTAGCTGATACATTAAAGCTTATCCAAACTCAGGGAAAATTTTAAAAGAACCGTAAATTCATTGAACATATACATCTAAATATACACCTCGCATGTACTATCGGTACATAAACATACAAATACAGACAGCTATTTGCCAATAAATGATAAAAATCTCTCTTTAGGTAACACCCCCCCCACGGATAAGGACACCATGACCATCTTAGCAAGAGGTGCCCTGTACCAATATTTGATGTTTTTTGATTAATAAAAGAGTACTCAGATGAGTATCTATTTTCTTTTACAGTATTGTGTATATAGAAATCAATACAGCTAAGCTATTGCTTTTTATTTTTTAAGAGGAACTGCCACAGTCCACCGTCGCGTCGCTGTTATCACACTTTAATCATATTTTTACTGCATTTTCAGCGTTAGAGGGTAGTAGTCAGCTCTGGAGGTTGGGACGGTCTCAGCAGCTTCGTTCGCTTTTAGTTATCCTCCAGAACTAAGGACTCGAGGACCAGAGACCGTGCCCAGAAGCGTTTATGGCATCTCTCCTCAAGATGCCTCAAGTCCTCCGGAAAGTATCGATGTTGGAGGTTTATCTTATGTGAATTTTGTACGAATATTTTCATAAAAACTGCACCATGTTGTACAGAAAATCTCTCTTCCCTGATTTGATATATAGACTTCCTCGTCATTCTTGACAACAGTGCAATAACTGTCCTTGTCTGATGGAAGTTGCTATTTACAATATTTATTATCTACCTTCTGATTGCTCTCCAAATCATTTCAAATACCATCATCATTAGGAATCTTATTTTCCAATTTTGTCCCTACTCGGTTTGTTTATTGAACCTTCTCGTTGTATGTGTGAAGTTTAGTGACAGCCAATGATTTGGAGATCGTGAGGTGCGGTCTTGACACTCTCAACACGACACAGAAGAATGACACATCTACATGGAAAACAAACACTTTGAGCCCTGATGAGGATCTCAATAAACATCGAAACGTTGGCATGATAAAGAAAATGTTTTTCTAAAACCTACGTCACACCAGACCGCACCTCACGAACTCCAAACAATCTTCTCGTTGTATATGACCTCCCCCAGGATAGACTGGCTTTCTTCTGACCATACTTAGATGATTATTAGGTAACGAGACTGTCACTTAAAATACCTACATATTTCCTGGCTCTTCAGAAATGTGGAGTATTCTAATGTCTTAAGATAGCGACCATCCCCGCTGTGCAGAGGTAGACGCTAGTGGATTCTGGCAAAGGAAGCAAAATGATGAGCAAAGCAACGATCGGCAGAGGAAATCTCGAGTAACGAGAGCGCTGACGTTAGCTGGCCCTATGTGGACCCCTACTGACTCGTAGAAGTAAGGTCATCCTCATTCGATTAAGAGCACGCGTACTGTCCAGCACGCAGGGAAAGGTTGATGAAGTGATCCACCTCCTAATTTAAGGGTTTTATGGCTCCATAAAGAGAGCGTGAAATCTCACCCGATATGATAACTTTGCTTGAGTACGGCAGCGAGTATCTAGGATCTGGGTACGCTGTTCCGATTCTTGGAGAAAACAAAGGTGTTTTACGTTGTTATAATAATGATAGTTTTGTGTTCCTAGTGTGTATTGAGATTAAATGAATCTATTACCATGAATACCATCCGTGATTTGGTGAATTTTCTCCTCCCTGAGCGTTGGGAATATAGAATATTTTAGTTTAAAACTGGACAAACTGTTATAAATTATGGTCCACTGGAGTCAGTAATTAAGTTGAAAAGTACTGTAGACATTTCGCTTCTATTAAATTGCTGTTTGACATTTGTGTAAATAAGTTTCACTTGCGAAAAAGGGCTTTTACACGCCGGATGGTTTAATTAATGAGACTGCATACTGTAATTTCTAACACAATTCGTACAAATTTCGTCGTTGTTTCAATCAGGCACTAATTAACTCCTCAACGAAACTCCATCAAGCCGACGTGGCATCACCGAGTGGAAAAAAGGACTTTTGAAGAATTTCATTTCCCTTTTACCACTGTAGCGTGACGAGAAGTCGTTTGGCGGACAATTAGATTTGAAAAACCACGCCCTCACCAACGACCATTAGTAAATTAAAAACGTGTCCGATTCGGACTGAGTGTATTTCATGTAGAATTTCCCATATTTTAAACGACTTTACGACTATGAATAGCATATGGTTGGAAAAAGTTATCTGATGGAGTTACAATCTAGAGGCGAATACATTTCTCCGGACAATAGACGAATATTGGCGCCCTGATGGGTTTTCATTCTGGTCTAAAACCGACGCAATTTTTATCTTGATAAAGTAGCATCATTCTTTCACTATCCTATACGCAATCAATAGTCATTTAATGATAATAAAAAGCTGATTTAAAAATTAAATCAATAACCAAGCCCACGCAGACCCCCTTATGAGAAGAAAGGTTGCTCGATGAGTCCCACATCATAGAAGCGTGTTATGCCTTGGCTCCTTACAGAGAGCGTGTATTCCCCAGGTGCCCTCTTCCGCTTTATAAAGGACGTGGTTTTTTTATTGTATACATAGTGTGGTAGAAGTTAGCACTTTAATTTAAGTTAAGTTAGTTATATAGTACAATTTTTAAAAAAGCTTAATTAATCTTAACTGCGATATTCTAATGTACCTGAGAAAAATAGTAATTTTATTTAAAAAAGAGGCATATAGTTATATTTATATTTTAACCGAGGTAACCTATACGACCATGCTGTGGTTTTTTAAAATTTTTTATATTATGTTGCTTTTATTGTTTTTAATTAGTTTCATATTATTAAGGTATAGGTACTGACCTTCAACTAATTTTAAATAATCTTATTATAAATGCAGTTTCTTTTTCTCAAGATATATTTCAACACTGATCGAGTTAAAGTAAAAAAAATAATTGTTTTGTAATTTTTTTAAATGATATAATATGTTCTAACTGCGATATTTTCCTAAAATAAATAGGCCCTGATGATGACGGTATA